CTTTTCTAAATTAAAATATGTGAATGTTATTATAATTGATTAGGTAGATAAGGAAAGAAATTTGAAATCTTTTTTTATGAATAGAAATATAGAAAGGTAGGAGGAAAAATATGAATAGAGAAGTATTCTGAGCAATGTCTTGCCTACAATTAGTTGTATCGTTCTCTAGAAATCTTTTAGAATTTTAGAATTGTCCCTCTCTTGAAACACTTGTTTTTTTAATCATTCTGCATGGAGACTTTATACATATAGCTGCTGTTTATCCATGTTTTAGATATTGTGTATGCCTGATGTAAGCTGGTAGAATTTTATTTTGATTCTGTTGAAGTACAGAGTGCTAGGATGTATTCATTTATATAGGGTTTTTTATATTAGGTCTCAAATGTAGAGAGATTTGCAAATGGTTCATGTATAAGAACCTTGGTAAGAGAGAACCTAGCGTTACTATTAAATTTCTGGTTTGTGAATCTCATCTTCAGTAGCAGTATATTAAAATTCAGCAAGCATTGTGGCTTTTGGGTTACTTTAAGTCCTACAACAGTCTTCCTTGAAAAATACAACAACATGCGAAAGCTGATGTGCCATACTTTTGAGAGCTTCTTTTGTTTTTTTATGAATGAAGATTTGATTGTTTTTTACTGCTTTCCTTTATTCTATCTGGAAGATTGATTTTAACAGATTTTAACTTGACTTTGTTTTTGTATTTGTTTCAAAGTATTCACTTTAAAAAAAAAAATTAAAAAACTGTGCATCTTATATATGTGAAGTGTATGATTGTTTTGCAGACTTTCAATAAAGTATATGAAAGCTAGACAGTGAGATTAAAAAAATGTAACATTAAAACTGCCAGAAATATTTTTTAACAGTGTCTGGAAAAAATAAAAGTTGTATTGTAAATCCGTTGTACTCTAATGCCTTTTTTTAAAATGTATTTAATGGCTTAGTTGTTTAGCCTAGGTTCTGAGTCCTTTTCCTGGTCTCCTTATTCCAGGGATTCTCAAATAGTCCCCTTTAATCCATTCCATTGTATTTCTTTGCTACTGCCACCTCCTTTAGTTGAGCTGAATCAAAGAAATAAGGTGACTGTGCCAAAACCTTGCAGAGTGAAGGGTTTGGACTTCTCTTGCTCTTAAGCCTTACAAATCCTACGTAATTTCTTTTGTTCTCTGAGATGGTTTAGTCCAAATCTTGAGAAAGCAGGTTCATAGATCTTGTCTGCAAGCCCTTAAGGAGTTTTTCTTGGCCTTTTGTTTATTCTTCTGCATTTCATTCTCCCGTTTAAATAAATATTCTCCCGTTCATGCAGTAGACGTGTATACTGACTTTGTTGTAAAGGCAAAAGCAGCAAAAATTGATTTCTAATCCTATTTTGTTCATGTTCCTTACTGAATTTGTCTGGAAAAAGCACAGTGAAACCTTAAAACTGCAATATTAAATCTGACCAAAGAAGTGTTCTTGTTTTCAGGTGGAAATGAGCTGCTTCAGACAGACAGTCAAGAGGATCTTCGCGAACATCTGAAAAAGACTTTGGAGTTCTGCTTGTCTCGGCAAGTAGTCTGTTTTGTCAGTTTCTTAGAACACCATAGGGTAATTTTTTATTACTCTTCATTTGGCAAAAATAAAGTGTATGACTGCACTGCTGTCGCTTGTAAACATTTTTTTTTCAGATTGTTTTTATTTCTGTATCTCTATCTCTACTGCATTTTTAATTAGGAGGTTTTGATTTAAAAAAAAACTGTAGCTGTCTTTTACAGTGAACCAAGACTTTGTTGCAAAGTTCTACATATCATTGATATGATAGAAATCAGTTTTTTTTTTATCTAAGTTCAAGCTGTCAAAGCTTAATCATGAGTAAATTACAGGCTGACCTGCTGATGTAACCACTTGTATTAAAGTGCAAATTGCTAGTTGGCCAGAAACAAAAGCAATTGTGGTTCCAGTTATACTGTAGTGAATTCCTTTTGGTTTTTATTTACATAGTCATCTGGTCTCACAGTTTAGAGATGTTCACAGTGGACATCATCAATGAAGGTGATGTCATGGATGCAACATGATTACTGTTCTGTACCCAAACCCAAGTGTTGTCACCTTCACGATCCATGAGTTGCCCTTGTCAGATTTCACTTAGGGCTGCAATGTTAATGTCTTATCTCTGGAGTTCTTGTGTCACAAATGCAGTGCAGCATATAGGACTGTTGTTGTCTGTGTAGTCCAGGAGTTTCCTCATGTTCCAGCTCCCCAAATAGTAATTAATGCTTGTACGTTACCGAAAAGGAGCGAGCATAGCAAAACCCTTTAAAGCACTGCTTAGTCTTAGTTACAGCTGCTGAAATATGCTTCTGTCTCCACCCAGGTGATCGATGTGTAACAGGGACCTTAGTACCAGATTACGACTTGGTAGTTTCCTGATATCACTATCCTGACTCTGTCTCCAGCTGTTCAATAAAAGATATGGAGAATGTGCTAGAGAAGGAAGTTGCCTTTGTGTCCTTTTATTGTAGAGACAGTTTGTTCTACCCCCATCTACCTGGTAGAGTGGAAGCTGGTAGACTCTATGCACATACAAGCCAAACTGGCAGCGTGTGATGGTCCAGCACCCTATTTTTTTGTCCACCCGTTAGTGAAAACAGGTCTTCACAGCAAGTAAAGTGGCTCCAGGACCACAGGAGTCCTTCAGATAGTCAGTGCTAACGCTAGATTGCTTATTTCCTAAGGTCAATTTTCAGAGTTTGAGGGGGTGAACCTCAGTTTGTACATCAGCAGTTAAAGGCACTATAAACAGTGCAGGTGCTTTTTAAACTGTTTTTCCTAAAATGTCATAGAAAGTGATACTAAAAAGCTTACCCTAGAACTCTGCCCTAATGTCTGGTAGTGTTATGAGGATTAAATATAAGGTTAAGAAAAACAAAATTGGTGCTGTCTCCCCTCATACTCCTGAAATTATAAGCAATGTGGTAACTACAGTTGTGTTAAATTGATGCATGTTACATGCTCTGTACATGTTCTTAATCATTGATGGTGAATGTGCAGAATTAAATGGAAAGGGAGATAATAGACGACATAGCATTGTTTTGTGTAATTCACTTGACTGAAAAGAATGAGATGAACAAAAAAAAAACTTTTTTTAACAAAGCTTATATTGCAGAGTGACTCTTATTTCCTACTTTTGTTTTGAAATATTGGCAAAAATGACCGTGGCACAAACCCATGATGTGAGCAGTGGGCTGCCCTCCCTGATTGGTTGATCAATCGATCGATTGGTTGGTTGACTCTGCACTTAAGGCTTTTCTGCGCTCTCATTGTCTATGGAGAACTTGCATAAAAAAACAATTATTTGACATTTAGCAAGTCATCGAGTTGTAGGTTTTTGAAAAAAAATCTATGGAAGGATAGTAAAATGAAAGAAATTGATTTCCTTTTCTCCTCCTTTTAGGTTTCTATTTCTTGTAGACCAGGTTTTGTTCTTATTTTTGGCCATTTTACGTAGTTTTCACTAAAAACAAATTTGTATGTCTGTAATCCCAATCCCACTTTGTATAAAGTATGGCCTACATCATTTTTTCGTTTAAATTCTAAGTTAGTTTTTATCATGTTTGTAAAGTATATATAACAGAATCTACTTTTGTGTTACTGCCTATTTCTACTTACTTTTCAGTTATTTTTTTAAAATACTTCTAAACAGATTGTTCTAGTTTCAAGTGTTTAAATACCAAAATCAGTGTTAGAATCTGTTGAGTTTTTTTATGTTTATTGTAATTCTTTGAATTGTCATTTTTACTTAAACTTACGTAACAATCAAATATTTTCTTAGTCTGACTTGAGGTTAGAGAATCTCATGTTCATTTAGAATGTGAATGATAGGTGTATGTATTATAAAATGGTGCCTCATATCACAGAATTTTCTTAAAGTGGCATAAATGCATTTGAGGAGGAAAAACAGATGTGGTGGAATGCGTCATTTCCAGTTTTCTGCGAATATTTGCCAACTTATTAGCAGCCATATTGTTTTCAACAACAATTCCATTTTATGTTAGTAATGTTTCAGATGGTTAAGCGGGTTCAAATAAATTAGCATAAACCCTTAAAGTTAGGAGTCCAGTGTTTAATGCAACATTTCTCGTGGTGTAAAAAAAGACGACAATGAGAGAGGAAGCCTGGTAATTCATGAAAAGATCACAAAGGCAACTGAAATTGCCAGTTTGTGTAGTCGTCTTTAAAGAGGAGCAAATGCGAGAGGTGCTAATTATGAGCTGTTTTTCCTTTTGCAAGAGATGCACAGTACTACTTGAAAATATAAAGCTTTATCCTGATTCATGAAGAGTTTATTTCCTCATGAATAGAAACCCACCTAATGCCTCTTCTTAAAGTAATAACCACTCCTTGCTTGAACTCAGGACTCATCTCCTAACTGCCAGTTACGTTTCCTGTGCTTGTAATACCAATATTGAATTACACTTTTTTTGTTGACATGATTTCTACAGAATTGTCAACAGGGAATTCTAGTCTGGTACAATATCTTCAGTGCCTTGCCTTTTTATTTCTTTAACAGCTGCATTTGGAGTCTTGCTGTGAAACTCTCTCTTTAAGCCAGGCCCACTAAAGACTGTGTAATCAGTGTCCTTTGAAAATGTTCGAGTTTCCCCTTTTCTCACCCTGTCTGCCACACCTAATTTAATTTCAGTAGAGAACATTTTGGTTTCTGCTGCCAGCTGGGTTTCCTACTGTTTACCTGGAGTCAAACTATATTTCAAATTATGCTGGAAATGCCGACCTTAATTCATTATAACCTGCACTGCATCGCTAAATTTGCCTTTAGACAAAAATTGTGTCTTGAATTCACGCTTTCAACTTGGAGCCTCAAGATTCATTTTTTGGAAGTTGAAATAATTTTACTTAGACTTTTCCTGCAACCCACCAATTCAGCACTGATGGACCAGTTCTGTCATTCGAAGCAGTTGTTTCCACAGGGACCGTATATTATTGCATATAATAATTATTGCATATAGTTGATATCTGTTTTGCAAAAGTCAGTGTAACAGTTAGAATCAGCACATTTTCAGGTGTAGTAAAAGAGGAGGTTGTGCTGATGTATGTTTAGCCATTGGCAGTGTGCTTTTATACAGGTTTATACAAAATGGAAGTGTTTAAATGGAAAAGTAGGTACTATGCTTTAGTTATAGTGTGGTTCTCCAGAGCTGAATGAGCAGTCTGTTCTGTATTCTCTTGCACAAAAAAATCTCGACCTGCGTTTAGAGTGACAATCTTAGAATGTTGTCTGTATGGAAGAATCTCGTGACGTGTTATTAAATCACCAAATTAGCAGTACTAACCTAAATAAGAAAAGTGTATAGAGACTTAAGTGCCAGGAATAATAGTTGTACTTTGGGGAAAATTATTTATTAGCATTGGAAGCAAAGTCTTTTTACCTTTTCTATTATTCTTGACCTTACATTTTACATTTTAGTAGATATTTGTGATGTGTTGTGAAATCAATATCTGAAAAGCTGCAATAGAGCAGCTCTAAAAAGAAAGCAGAAGTGTGATTGCTGTACCTGTAGTAAGGCACTTTTTTTCTTTTGCTATCCTATTAACAGTGTGGGAGGTTACAAAAAACATGAGTTTGCTTACTCCATCCAGCTCGTTTGGTGTAATTAATTAAGATGAAGATATCATCCATTCATCTTTTTTGAAAGCCAGGGTTAGCCAGGATATAAGCTTTGACAACATGGTTGGGTAGTTTATTCTAGATTCCTTCAACGTTTGTATAACAAAGTACCTGCATTTCTTGGTTTTAAATGCACTTGTCTTTAATTTCCGCTTTTGAATTTTAATTGATTCTTAAGATGTTTGTTGGGTTGGCTTTGCTCAGGGTCATTAATGATTTTACTTGCTTTAGTCACTTCCCTTCATACAGTAGTTCTCCTTCTCTGAGTACTAAAACAGTTCAGTGTCAGTATAAAAGGTTCCTTTAAGTTCAGTGATGTATCTGGTTCCTCTTCTCAGGACTAATTCCAGAACTACATTATTGTTTGTTAATATAATGACTAAAACAGTGTTCTAAATATCTAGCACATAATACAAGTATAACATGATATAAAATAAAAAGATCTGTTTTAATACAGGCTGGATAGGGGCATAACAGTTTATATAAATAGTAAAGTACAGGGTTTGGTCATTACAAGGTTTTGCTTAAAATTCAAGGTATCCTGACTGGCAATGGATTTAGGCAGATTGTGATTCACCATGCCATTCCCTCAGGAATGAATCCCTACAGAATGAGACTCATCTTTTAGCATGACCCTAGGCTTACAGCCAAACAGTGAAAATCCTTTGGAATTTGAGTGATATGGAATATTTGTAACAGTATTCCACAGTCCATCATTCTCTGTGAGAAGGAAAACAAGACATCAATCTTTGTATGGGCTCAAATACCACGTATTAATGTTCTGAGAAATAAATTAATTCGTGTTAACATTTTCCATAATGAGCTGTACTTATTTGTGCAAACTTGCTTTATAGTCTAGTCTATATATATCTCCCTTATATAACCTGTTAATTTCAGTTTCCATTTTTGACTCTTGTTATATACTTACAAGATAAAAATATGCCTTTCTTATGGTGCTTGCTTATGGTCCTGACAGTGCTAATGATGTGTATTAGAGTACTTGTACACAAACAGTTGGGTATTCATTTGTTTCTATCCACTCTTATTTGGCAAGTTGTAAATATGTTAGGAAAAATCTGATCTATGGGATATGCAAACTGCAACATCAGGCTGGAACACAATACTCATTCATTAGTTCTTTGGTTTATGTGGGAGTTGTTTGCTAAATGCACACTTTATTTCTTAACTACAAAGAATTTGTTGGTGGGAGGCTTAGGCAAGGCTTGTAGGGAGTGTCATGAATTCTGTTCTTCTTTTGATTTTAGAGAAAACCTTGCTAGTGACATGTACCTAATCTCTCAAATGGACAGTGACCAGTACGTGCCAATAATGACTGTAGCAAACCTCGACCATGTCAAGAAACTCAGCACTGATATGGATTTAATTGTCGATGTCTTGAGATGTAAGTTTCGTTTTTTTTTTCCTCGTCATTAAGCATTTTAAAAGATTTCTGAAAATCATTGGTTCAAAACTTTTACAGCTACTTTTTTGTGTACTTGATATTTATATAGTAAAGCAAATGTAAATCGTGTAGGAAAAAGTATTAATTGCATAAACGTAAAACCTTGTTTACAGTGTACATTGAAATATTTCGTTTTTCATTTTTGATTATAATAAATAATGCAAAAAGTATTTCAGAAATAATTATGGTTTCTGTGTGAACAGGAGCATTATTCTTCCATTTATTTCTTAACATTACACTGTGTGTAAAGATTAAATCTTTGGAGACTTTTACATGCAAGAGTTTGAATGTCGTACAAAAACACATTATGTCCTACAGTGTGATTGCATAATGGTAGTGCTGTGAATCACTGACATTATGATTTTTTGTAGCCTTGCCTCTAGTTCAAGTGGATGAAAAAGGTGAAAAGGTCAGACCAAACCAGAATCGCTGCATTGTTATTCTTCGAGAAGTCCCCGAGTCCACTCCACTGGAGGTAAGTTCATTTTTAGTGTTTTTCAACCTTGTTTTTTTTTTAAACAAACTGGAATATCAGAGGTTTTCAAGCTTATACGTTCCATTTTTTTGCTGTTTCACAAAATAGTCATGTCCCAATTCTTTAGCTGTCAATTTTCAAGTCCCTATCTGCTAGCACATTTCTAAATGTATGCTCATTTTTCTTTATCAAAGTTCATACATACATTAACATACATTGCTATGTAAAGATCTCTTTTATCAACTGACAACAAATACTTTCGAAAAGGTGTATTTTTTAGTGAGATTCATTAATAACTCTTCACCCTTAGATAGACTCTATTTCTATGCAGTATAATATAGATTTTTGTTATAGTTGATCTTTTGCATTGAATTTTCTGGTATTACAAGTGTAATTAAATATCTGTATTTTACCATCTTAAGATATGAGGTTCTTAGTTGTTTTGGGTGTCAAGAGCTTTATGTTGGCTGGGTTTTGTAGTTCTTCAAAATTACCTTGAAGTCAAGAAGCTAAAAAATATCACTCTTAATTCTGGTCTCAAAGAACAATAACGTCTGGTAGTATCCTTTGCAGTATTTAGCTACAGCTTCTTTCAGCGCTTCAGACTAACTCTGTCCACTCATGTACATAATTTCTGAGGGCAGGGCTCAACCAAGACTTTTATTCCTCAACTCAGTTCTTCATCTTGCTTTTTAAGCAAATTAAATTAGTTGCAGTGAGTGAGAATTTCTCTGTGGTCTTTCTCTGTTGCTGTTCACATGTGATGTAGCTATGACTTGTTTGTCGAGTGTAGTAATTGGACAGCAACTCTAAATCAGTGGCAACCACTGCTATGTTAGTATACCCTTAGTTCATCCCAGCTGATGCAGCAATTGTCCCATTTCATTGCAGTGAAAGCAATTGCAGGTTTTCTGAAAATTATTTTGTACCTTGTGCTGGATATCTCTTGCTTGTTTCTTTGGGTGCATTTGCATAGACCCAGGTCTATGCTCTTGAGCTTTAGTGCTATGTTTCTGTAAGATTTTCATGCCTTTTGCATGTTTTCTAGGATTTTATCACAGCCCACAGCCCCCGAATGACTGTCTGTTGAATCATTCTGAACAGAAAAAATATTAACATGAGAAAATATTCTCCCATATAAACCAGCAAAATGAGATGGGGGCATTCCCCTCCCCTTCAATTAAATGGACAAGAAAAATAGTTTCCCAAACTGTCTTGTCAGGCTCTTAGTGTATTAAGTGGGGTCTGCCAGACATTGGCAGCTCAGCAGTTGATTGCTCAACCTGCCCACACCTGTCTTGATCTATTTCAGGGTGCATCTGCTAGCAGTGTGAGCTTTACCACTTTAATTTGACATTCCATAGACTAAAAGACAGATGGATGCAATACAGAAACAAGTTTACATATTAATACACATCTGTTTTCATATTCCTGTAGCTTTTCCATAACAGTTATTTCTCAGCATTGATCGTTTCACAGATGTGCAGATGAGATCTCGAGAACTGCAATCAAGCATGTTGCATTTAAGAGACGAGACGTGTAGGATGAGACATTATGCTTGCCTCCCTAGCAGAGGGCACTAGAGAGCTGTTGGGTTTTGTGTTGGCAGCTGTACAGCTCTAGGCAGTTTTGAATATGTATTATATTAATCCTGTCACCTGTGATTTTACTGTAGCTTCCATTTCTGTCTCTGCATGTTCTGGCTGCTATCCTTTTTGCTTTTCCTTTGGCTTTGTATCAGCATACATCTATGTGGCTTGGAGTAGACCCCATATGGAAAAGTCATGCCTAGGAATTTTTTCCTCATGTAGCCTAAAGAATTGAAAGAACCATCATACAGGTCTCTGGGTGAAATGTTGTTTTACATCAACCAATTACAATCAGCTTCCTCAATTCTTAAGTAATATTTGCTAGTGTACATGTATAATCCAGTTGGATGCATGTACAGTCTGCCAGCCTGCCGTAGCTGCTAGTCACCACCTCTACAGAGCTCACGATTAATTTTAGGAGCTGGTCCTTGTTAGATTCTCTCTTGCATTATGGAATGATAACTGTAAATACCAGTGTAATTAATTCTTAATCAGATCTGGAGCATCTGGCGAAACAAAGGATTTCATCCAGGCAAACTTCTGTGTAAAATGAATGATAAGCTACAAATGATGCTAGGAAGCTTTGTGCTTGCAAGGATTGAATGTGTTTTAAGGGCATTTATTTGATTTGTTTTGCTCACACACGCGGTATTTTACGAAAGTCTAAGTTGATATGTCTCCCACTAGAACTGAGTGTCTTTATTGACTGTTAGAGTGATACCTTCCCATGTTAACTCTCATGTTAATATCTGTTTTGACAGGAGGTGGAATCTCTCTTTAAGGGTGAGAACTTGCCCAAATTCATCCATTGCGAGTTTGCCTACAATGACAACTGGTTCATTACTTTTGAATCTGAAGCTGATGCACAACAGGTTAGCTCTTCCCATTACTAGTCTGGAATTGCATTCAGTGCTATTATTGCCATTTAGTTTAGGGTTACCTTTTTTCAAAGTCTACTTTTAGTATCTGAAACTGATACTAGCCTTTTAATCGAAGTGGTTTCACTTATGTTCTTTATTTAAATTGAGAAGTTTTGAATGTTTGTCAATTTATAACATCTGGTACCTGCAAAAATCATAACAGCATATCCATTATGTATTATATCTAATTCATTTTCTTTGGCACTAATGTAATATGCAAAAGCAAGGAAGTAGATCTCAGAAAATTTTATTTAAGTTATTTAAGGGTAAGGCACTTTGAAGGATTAAAACCTTGGACAAACTCACTGCTCTAAGATGATAGAGTGTGCATCAAGGTTGGCTTAAAACAAATTTAAGATGGTGATTTGAATTATTCTAAGATGTACACTTGAAAATTGGGGAAAAAAAACTACGGAAGAATCACATTATGCAATGTATCCATGTTATTAACCGTTTGCATCCCAGGTGGGCAATTAGAAATGATACCTATATTGCTATGTTTTACGTATGTCAGTTTATAATACATGCAATACACAATGTTAAAATGTAACTTATTGACATCTTATAGACAATCAGCTGGTTTAAGCAGAAACATTTTCTGTCAGGATTAATGAAATAATTATCATCTTTACGTTTTAAGGCTTACAAGTATCTTCGAGAAGAAGTAAAAACCTTTCAAGGAAAGCCCATCAAGGTAAAGTGTAGTAACATGAAAATCACCATTCAATATTCCTTTATATAATATTTGTTTTGTTTTCCTTTTAGTCTTTCCTTTGCTTAAAGAAATCTTGTAATGTAAGGTATATTATTTTGGGTTAATAACATCTGAATAAGCTTGTATGAGTGAATTAATTAGAGTGATAATTATGATTACAGTCTGCAGGGTGTCTCAACCATAAAACACCTCATTTTGGCATAAGATAGCCCTGGACAGTGTCTTTGATTGTGACCAGATTTGCCTATATGGTATCCCTTAGTTGGTTGAGACCATTGGGTCTGAGTGCATAACTACAATTATAGAAATGGAATAAAAGTTCCTTTCTTTTTTCCCATTCAGGCAAGGATCAAAGCAAAGGCAATCGCCATCAACACTTTTTTGCCAAAGAATGGCTACAGACCACTGGATGTGAATCTTTACGCTCAACAACGCTATACAACTTCATTTTACATACCTCCAGTGTACAGCCCTCAGCAGCAGTTTCCACTGTACAGCCTGATTACTCCACAGACATGGTCAACAACGCACAGTTTCCTAGATCCGGCATTGGTGAGTGAAAAGTACTTTGCACTTCGGTGCGCTGATCCTGGAGTAATGTTAGTTTTGAAATGATATGAGATTTTGTTTCTCAAGCTAAATGTTTTGCATCTTTGTGTGCCACACTCAATGACGGCATTTCAGGGCGTTTTCTAGTGACACAAAACGGAAGCTAACAATAGAAACACATGTATACATCATTTGATGCAGTAAATTAAACAGAAGCTGCTGTATGAAGGTAAGATTTAAGGCCGAATTTGCAAGTTCTGACTGAGGTGAAAGACCTGTTGTGGGAAAAGAGATCATTCCACAGTGTTGGAGCAATTGAACAGAAGTCTTAAGGTTTGGAGCCACGTTTTGCTTGGTGTAGTCAGGAGCTCGACCATGAGAACCCAAAAAGGTGAGTAGGAGTGTTTTGAATTTAAACTCCATGAGGATCCTAAACATAGCTTGACAGTGATGGTCATGCACTTTAAGAAATCCAGCATCACCAGTTCTTTTTTTTGTTAATGACTTAAAAAGGAATAGCCACCTGGTTTTTACATCTCGGCTTTGAGCTCTGATCCCCGCAACAGAACAGCACAGGGTGGAACGAAGTGCAGGCAGACTCCTGTGGACCACCCACCTCCGTGCCACTAATGTCACACATTCACAGGCTTTGCAGTAAGTTCAGCACCTCCTGGAGGAGGGGGAATTCATTCACAGCACTGCAGACCAAACCACGCCTAGAAAACTGCCGGCATTTGCTGTTTTCCTGGGACCTGAGAGCCCTAGCCAACCAATCCCACCCTGCCCTCTGTGGCACTCAGCCATTTGTGTACCACTGCGTGGGGGTATCACAACTTCAATCACCCGGGTGAGACAGCTCATCCTGCACTCGAGCAAGAGCTTTTACAAGCAGATCTATTCAGGACCACCTCATTTTACTATTAATTCAATTCTGAGCAGCCAAGTTCATATTGCAACTTAAGATCTAGTTTGGATCCAACTGCAAGCACCAAACCATAATCAAACCTGGAAACAACAGAAGAATGCATTGCCTTCTCTACATCTCACTGGGAGAGACAAGAATCAATAACAGCTGCTTTAAATGGGGGGGGAAAAGCTACACTGGTGCAAGCATATACTTCACATGCAAGAAATTGAGCAGAGATGATTCCAAGATTCCAGACCCGTACTTGTGGGGATTCCAGCACCATCATTGGTCACATTGAAGCTGTCACATTTCCCAAGTTTAGGAGAGCTAATGAACATAACTTCATTTTTTTTCCAGGTTTTTTTGGGGACAGAGCTGATAGTACTTGATTAATTGTGGGTGTCATGAACAAAAAGCATGTTCTCAGAATGTTTTATGTTCTTATAAAAATGAAGTCTGATTTACAAATTGTTTTCAGTCTGTGGAAACAATTGATAGTATAATGAATGGGTTTAACCACTGCAGAGATATCCAACCTTATCAAGGATGAATAATATCCAATTTTTCAGCACGTTTTCTATAACTTGCTGTGCCTTGGAAAAGTATTCACTCCCCTCCAATGATGCCCCATTTTATTGAACTACAAATGTATCTCACATTTTTCTTAAAACCTAAGTGTCCACTTTGAACACTTCTGAACATTTTGAACATTCACATTTTTATTAAAAACACCAAAAGTGTGTAAATTTGCAATTTCCACGGAATGCATTGCAAGGCAATTTAGATATGATTAAAGCCACGACAAAAAGCAGTTCCAGAAGTACCAACAACACTGCTCTATTCAGCTTGATAGGGTAGTTAGAAGTAACAAAGACAGCACTGAGGTCCAAGGCAAGAATGAATAAAAAAGTCGGCAGTAAATCATCAGTAACCACAATAAGAGTTGTTTCAGTACTGTGCATCAGTCTGAACCTCAAATGAAATGGTTCATACAGTTTTCTAGATGGTGTTACTGAATAGCACCAACCATTGTTGGAACCTTTGGCAAAAATAGCGAGTTAGTCAATGTTATTATTATTATTATTATTAGTCAATAATTACTGAGCAGACTTGAATCTAAGTTCTGCGTTTCTATCAAAGAGATAATACCTGTAGGTTTTGGGGCCAAGGAAATGACAAGATTGCTTGAATTCTGATGTTAAGAGTGGGGGGGGGGGAACGAAAATTGATTGCATCAGTGTATTAGATTGTTGTGGTTGTGGTATGAAGTTGTTTTAAGAGATGATGATTTCTGGGGAAAAAACAGGCTCTAAGATTTCTTTTCCTTTCTTCTGTTAGCTTCCATGGACGTAATCAGTGTGTTATTATAATATTGTTGGTGCTGCTTGAAGGCAAGTAAATGAACAGATAGGCTTGTTATCCTCTATCTGCATTCATGTTTATGCCCATGAGATTTCATGGAGCAAATACTAGGCTCTTGTGTACTGTATGAAAAGGCTGAAGGTTTCTTTTTGTTTTTTTCATTTATCTGTGACTGCATAAACCATTTTTGTACTTTGTTTTTCTCTTTATTGTAAGGCTGATGTGAGGTCAAATCATTTTACAGTGTGCACCTCTTAAACATGTGCTGCTTATAAATGATGAGGGATTATGAAATTTATCACTTTGTATTCCCTTTTAGATTTGGAAACAATGGAGTACATAGCTTAGGCATAACCAGTGTGACTAATAAAAGCAGCTTGGAATGTGAAATTGCATACAGTTTCTCTGGCATTGTATGTAATCACACAGATATCAATGTTTGTTTTTAGCAAGGAGCAGACTGGATTAACCTAAATGTAAACAAATCTCAGACAAACAGTCAACAAATGAATCCTATCTGATGCTTTTTTTTATGCCTTCTTCCACTTCAGGGAAAATGTTTTTCAAGACTGAATTCCTTCCCTGCCTCGAGTCTGTAAAGTCCCAAAGATAAAGATTGTCCTTTTATGAAGTTTATATTTTCTGTTTTTGTAGTGTTTGTGAGTTCATGAACTGCACACTGGCGGTAACAGAGCTCTTTTCCACTCAGGTTTTGTTGTTCATCCTTCCAACATTTTGGTAGTGAGCCTACCATAAATATTTTCGATATTTCAAAATATCACTGCAACATTTCCTGTTTAAAGAATAGCTGTATATTTTTGAATGGGAGATAATTAAGGGTAATTATGCCTGGGAGTTAATAATGCAGTACCTTTACCGTAATACATTTTATACTTTTATTCATTCTGAACAACCATCTAATTAAAACCATCCAGCCCGTTTCATTTGCATGATTGTGGTATTTTCCTTCCAAGACTTTCATCAAGCCAATTTTTGAAAGTACCCAGTAAACCAACATGTAGTGTGATTTCTATTTTTCTCCAGTACACCCCAAACGTCATGTCATTCCTTGTGTGTCTTGAAAGCACTTGCAGTTATTTTTTTCTTCTGGTCCCTGTATTGAATGTACAGTGTAACCTTCATATCTGGAGTTTCTTTTAAGAATGTCAGTCTGCTTGGATTACAGCTTGGAAGTCAATTAACAAATTGACAGCACAGTGGCGAGCAAACAGTAGTAAGTGTGGTTTGAGCAATGCATTCTTGCTGTGTGCTATAATTTATTAGTTGTGTTTTCAATTAATAGGTTGTATTAGGAAATAGGTAGTGAATTGTGTTTGACCAACATTGTATAAACTAAATCGCAAGTCATTCTTACTGGCTTCTCTGTTGCAATGTAATAGAAGTTCAGTTAACGTAATTTAAAAATTAAGCTTCATAAAATAAATTTACATAACCTTAATCACTTCAAGAGGACAACTGCTAAAAGGTTTAATTAAGCTCACTCTTTTGTGAAATCCTGGAATCAGTCGTCGCATCTGTTGGGGAAACGTGACTTGTTAGTTTGCAATTTTTCTTTTTTGTGCCGAGATAGTCGCATGCTAGCACACCTTTGAGTTTAAATCTTAAACTTATTTTTTTTTTTAATTTGAATTGTAATTTTAAAAACAGAATACAGTGCTCCCACATTATAAAGCAGTTGTTTGGCTATGACTTTTATCAGCTTTAACTGACTTTTTACACCTCTGAGAAACACAAGACAAAAACAAATTATCACCACTCCCATTGAATATTTGTTTATAACCGCAATTAATATTCTCATCTTCCAGTCATTTGGCTGGTGACTATAAACAAGGCAATGAATATGCTTTATACTGTATTTTGTATGATGCATCTAAAATATGAGTCAATGCAAGATTATACAATTAAAATGCAGACACTATTGTACTGTATGTCTCCTACAGTGATTTTTAAAGCTTAAAACTACAACGCAAGAACAACACTGCTTAACAGCAGTGTTACGGACTTGAGCTCATTATTTTTTTATAGGTCCCCTTCTGTGTAACTTTGAAGAAAGCAAGGTGACTAGAGGATGAAGATATCCTGATAAAGTATGCAAAAAGGCGTTCACCCTTACTGTACTTCAGAAATCTACTCATTTTGCAACAGCCTCAGCTTGTCAAAACATATTAGAAGACAGCATTCGTTATTTGATGACGAAAGTCCGAATTGTAGTGGTAACTTGGCAGTCCTGGTGGTCTTTTACTGCGAGAGAGGCATTTCCAGCACGTTTCTTCTTGTAGCATCATCAGTGCTCAATCAGTGTAATGCTGTTTCTGTTCTTTTACTTTTGCAGGAAACAGCAAGTGTTTACTTTGCTGTCTTCAGTAGCTCTACGTGGACTTTCAGTCCCTGTCACCACCGTTGCTGTTGAAACGTCTTTCAGCATTTCTTGAAAGGTGCAGGATGAGCGTCGCATGCGACTATCCGTAAAAGAGCACGGTTTCACACAGCAACAGGACATCACAAGATGTCTAACATAGCACCAGCCGAAGTTAATGTCGCTGTCCACCATCTTTTTTCTCCTTCGTTTACCCACTAACTTCAAAGTACGGTAGGTGCTTTGAATGACCGATGCAATAGCAGATGAAAACTGCGGTCAGCACAGGTCTTGATGACTGACAGCCCTTGAAACAAATTAAAGATTGTAGCCCTGGTCGTTCAAAGCAGAAGTAAA